GTCACCTCCTGAGACTATTCACCAAAGAGAACATAGAACAAATATAACAAGCGTATACATCATTGTGTACCAACCAACTTACAAAATATAATTAAAAAGTTTGTAAGCTTATTCAAAGTACAAGATGTGCTGGAGATGGTAAGACTTCTAGTCAAGTTTAGTTCCTTTGTTGCAAAATTGGCTTGAATATAATTGAATTAAAACAAAGAACTTTTTGCCTCTGTATTCACCTGGAATTAGAACTATGACTGAGAAATTGCAGTCCTATGGAAATATGAAATCATTGTTGAAAGGAAAGTCAGATTTGAAGCAACTGTTGAGGGAATTGTAATCAGATTACTGTAGTTTAGAAAATACATTCCTATTAATTATAAACTGCTGCTTGATTTTGCATAAAACAGAAACTGATGTTTTTGCATAAAACAGAAACTGATTTGCCAAAGGTAAATCCATTCAAATGAATTTTCATTCATTCATTTGTCGTTGGTAGCTGAGATACCACTTAAGCCCTACCTTAAGCCCTTTGAGTCCTCCAAGAGCTCAATACAATTGTGATGACCCGGGGCATGGCACAAAGGCAATACAGTCAAATAATAAGTAGGAGTCCCTTTATTAGCTCCAACTCTGCCCCCAATGTCCTGGTTACCTTCTGGTCTGGAGAAAAACTCTCCCATGAACAGCCTTTGGCTGCAGAGATTCAAGTCCCAAACATTGTCAACAAAAACTTTAACTATAAGTCCAATTCAAGGCAAGATGAGGTAATTAATCTGGCAGGGCAACAGAAGGAATTCCAGACATGAAGGAACAGCAGTAAATCAACCCAGTTCAGAGGATTCCAGGAATGCAGATAACCACAGTCAATACAAGGTAAACTCACATTTGTTCCCAGAAAACGCTGCTCTCAGCTTGCATCTCTTTTAAACTCTCTTCCCAGGTGTGTCTAATGAAGGGAATCGGGACCCTTTCCTCCCCCCTAAGCCATGCAACCCATGTTGCTCTCTTCTCCATTCCTCCCTATGTGTCCTACGATAAAGAGGGGTGGGCCTGGGTCTTCCTCTGAATTCCCTCTCCCTTGTTCTACCTCTTCCCTGCTCTGCCCAGCTGGACTTTGCCCTTCCACAGTTTCCTCCACAGCCAACGGAGCCACACTCCCGCTCCCTGTCAGCTGTTCGTCTTCCTCCTTGGATTCAGACTCTGACAGGGGCATGACAGCAACTATATCATGCTATTCCAGGTTTTAGCCTCAAAAGAATTTTGTGTTATATCACAAATGCTAATAGCAGCGTGATCAATTTTTAAAAAAGAATTTCAAATGTGAATATGAACACAGAAGCACCATTAACGTTAACTGTATAAACAGCATAACATTCAAAATAGAAGAAGAAAAAAACATCTGGTAATTTGTACCTAGTAAAATAATTCAAGGACATGGGATCAGATGGCTATTTTTAGGACCTTTAACAAATATGAATTTCCAAATAACAGAATCATCAAATTCAGGAAGTCAGAAAGACATGAGTCAAGTGTCTCTGGAATAAGTTAAAACCAAACTCATAGTTGGCTCTGAAGAATTTTAGAAGTCAATGGACTTAGAACACAGATCATCAGAGATGGAAGAGACCTTGGAGGCCTTCTAGTCCAACCCCCTGCTCCAGCAGAAAACTCTATACCATTCTGGGTCAATGGCTGTCCAATTCTTCTTAAAAAACCTCCAGTGACGAACCCACAACTTTTGAAGGGAAACGGTTCCACTAGTTGATTGTTCTCTCTGTCAGGAAATTTCTCCTTACTTCTAGGTTGCTTCTTTCCTTGATTAGTTTCCATCTATTGCTTCTTGTCCTGCCTTCTGCTTCTTTGGAAAATAAGTTGACCCCCTTTTGTTTATGGCAGCCCCTCAAATATTGGAACACTGCCTATTATGTCACCCCCTAGGCCTTCTTTTCACTAGACTAGACGTACAGTACCCAATTCCTGTAACCGTTCATACTAAGCATGGTTTTTGATAAGGCAATCAAAGTGTTTCATCTGAAAAATAATAAAGTCACTCTATTCTATACTGTGCAGAAGACTTTTCTCCTCCTACACTGAGGAACATATTTCATTCTACAGAAGATGGACCATCATCATATCCCATATAAGACTGTGCCATCATTGTTTTTTTACAGCCATCCACTGCTGTGCTACCTTGTCTATGTCTTGTGTTTTCTGTTTGCTTCTAGTATATTTTCAACTTTAAAAATAGCAGACTGGAAGGAAGCGTTCTCTGTTTCATTGAAAAACTTCTGATAGTACTCTTTGAATAATTCAATTACAACCTACCAGTTCTTGTGGTTTCTACTCTGCAGTGTCTTCATTGTGGTGAAATAATGTCATAGAGAACATATCAAAACTTAGCTTTGTTATGGTATATTTCTTATTCCTTGGTTGTGTGGGGTTGACCAGTTAAAAGCTAGGTGTTATGATAATTAGCTAAGAAATAAAATGTATGTTTAGTATTAGGGACCACTTCTTCCCAATTACATCTACCCAGGGGTGGGATTCAAATTTTTAACAACCGGTTCTGTGGGCATGGCTTAGGTGGGGGGCGTGGCTTGGTGGTCATGTTATTGGCTGGGTGTGGCCAATTCAATATCACTCACATTGAAGCATGCATCTCCTCGCCTGGCCTCTCATGACTGTGGGGATGCTGCAACAGCCGTAAGTGTGAAAAATGGTCATAAGTCACTTTTTTCAGTGCCATTATAACTTTGAATGGTCATTTCACACAAGCAAAGTAGCAGCAACAGAAGGGGAAAACACTCCAGAGAAGTTCCTGAGACAGGAAGTCTAGTCCTGCCAAGAATGTAATAAGAGTTAATGGAGAGGCAGTTTCTGTAAGCAACACCAGAATGTTTCCTTCCTGCCTTCCTTATAGGATTAGGCCAGTAATTTCTTCTAACAACCAGTTCTCCGAACTGCTTAGAATGTTAACAATTGGTTCTAGCAAATAGGTGCGAACTTGTAGAATCCCACCCCTGCATCTACCCTCCCCATCAGGCTGAACAGGAGAAATATGCTATGTTTATTGTCAAATAGACCTCTATTTGACAAGACCTAGGAAGTGAGCCTTTTCTGTGGTGGCCCCTGACCTCTGAAACAGCATCTCTTTGGAGACAAGGTTATGCCCAATTACGATGACATGCTGGAAAATCTTTCAAATGATTTTGTTTTCCTCCAGGAGGTCTGGAGAACCCCTGATAAAAGGGAGCCCATGTGTTGGCTGCATTGTACACAATATGTTCCCTCTCGTGGTCTTGTTTACATGGGTTTATTGTTTGTAATTGGTTCTGTAGAATATTTTATTTGTAGGTTTTATTGGACACCACTTTGTGTGAAATGGATGGCCAAATAAATGTGTCAAACAAGCAAGCAAATAGTAGTCTAATTATAAATCCATAATGCTATGTGAAGTCACATATGGCATATATCCTGGATAAGCCAGAACAATTCTACGTTTCAACAGGTCTTCTTGTACAAAGATCATCTTCAAATTACTAAGACTGTGGAGATAATAGCTGCCAGTCAGGACATAAGATGGGAAGCGGGATTCAAAAAAATCCATGTCGCATCTTAAACAGCACTTTTTTTTTTTTTTGAAGAGACCAATTTCTTTTATAAAATGTAACTCTGTGCTGAAATGCTATATATGGGAACATGGCTATTCCTTTTCATTTTAGTTTATAATGTCTACAGTAGGGAAAATGTTTGGGGGAGATTGACTAGTCTCAAAGATTGCGTGAATAAAGCTCTAATAAATCAGAACAACATATTCACATTAAAAAGCAGACATGTGTATACAAGTAATTAAAATTTTATTTAACAGGATTATGCTATGAACACAAGGTATGAAATACAATAAGTAGTTTCTCTTTAAAGCAGTACATCAACCAAACTGTTCCTCTATAATTTAATTACATAGGGGTTGTTTATTAAATAAACAAAGAAATATTTTTGCATTTATGTTCTAACCTTTCTTAAATAAATTATTTAGACATTTTTGTTTTATCTTCTTAAGACCTTGGTGACTTTTTAGGAAATCATGTTCCATGCAATAACAATTCTTTAAAATGGCACACTTCACTGTTCCTACTTTTTTTAAAGATCTGTTATTTTTTACAAACTCCTCCTAAGAAAGAATATACTCAGTTACCTCTTTACTTGCATCAGATCAGAATCACAGAACGGTTTTCCTTAGTCAGACCAGAATTGAAGTTGCTGGGGTGAGGGATGAGGGAGATATTAAACTACTGAGGTGACTTCAACAACTCCTACAATATGCTATCATTGTTGCTGCATTATTTATATGTATACATGAAATGCATATAGACGCACAGAGAGAGAGAGAGAGAGAGAGAGAGAGAGAGAGAGAGAATATAAACATTATCACAAATAAATAGAAGCAAAGGAAAGAAGGAAGAAAAAATTGAAAAGAAAAAGTGCAAAAAAAGAGAAGCAAAAGAAATAGAGGCTTCCAATTTCTTCTGCCACAAATATAAGTGCAACTGCGATATTAATTATAATTACAAAAAAATCTGACTTATTTCTATTATCCAGCTTTTTCCAATCATCAAAATCACAAATCATGAGTGCAATTTTTTCTGTTTTATGCAAAAGGTCTAAGAGAGGTTTCGAGGCACTTATATTGTTTTTCCACTAATCAGAGATTAATTTAGCCAACTTCCACCATCTTCACCAGCCATTCTTCCCTTGTGGGTAGTGTCAACCCTTCCACCTTTGAGCTTGTAACAGTATTGCTGCAGTTATCATACATTAAAAAAAATTCCATGACTGTTTTGGTTGCATTCAGTTCAATTCTTTAGTGATTTCATACTCATCAGCCTTAGGTATCATGGACAAAGAGGGGCAGAGGTGACATAGGATAATGTTTAGAAAATGACACTACATAAAATCCTCTCTTGAATGACAAAACCTCACAATAAGGCTTGCTTATGGAAGATCTATCAACCTGGTTCCTCTACTTTCTTCCCAGCCAGTCTGCAGAAGGCTCCCTTCACATCCCTGTTCCTCAGGCTATAAATGATGGGGTTTAACATGGGGATCACAAGACTATAAAAAACTGCCACTACTTTTTCCCTATTGGAGAATGTCTTGGCCTGAGGCCTCAAATACATGGCCAGGAGGGTGCCATAATAAATGCTCACTACAGTGAGATGAGATCCACAGGTGGACAAGGCTTTGCTCCGACCTTGTGTTGAATGGATATGCAAAACAGTGCATCCTATACGGCCATACGTGACCACGATAAAGAAGAAGGGTAATGCTAGGGTGAAGACACTGGTAATTATCAGGGTAATTCCATTAGCATGGGTGTCAGAGCAAGTTACTTTCAACACTGCCTGCAGTTCACACTTGAAATGATTCACCACGTTTGGCCCACACAAAGTTGCCTGCATGGTGAAAAAGGGTATAATAGTCAAAAGGAAGCCACTGACCCACACACTCGCAGACAACTGGATGCATAAATTGCGACTCATGATCAGGTTGTAGCTCAGAGGATAGCATATTGCCACAAAGCGGTCGTAAGCCATCACAGCTAACAAAAGACACTCCACAACACCTAAAAGGAGAGCACTAGACATCTGAGCAAAACATCTGCCCAGTGGGATAGTAGGCCTGTCCATGAAGCAGTGGACCAGCATCTGTGGGACAGAGGTGGTGATATAGCTGATGTCAATAAAGGAGAGGTTGCTAAGGAAAAAATACATGGGTGTGTGGAGGTGGGAGTCTACGATAATCAGCATCAATATGAGGCCATTGCCGGCTACAGCAATGAGATAGATAACCAAGAAGAGGACAAACAATCCAGCACGAACTCTGAAGTTTGTAGAGAGCCCAAGAAGCACAAATTCGGTCACTGTGGTCCCATTTCCCCATTTTTCCGTTTCCTGTAAAAGTAAAATCAGTTTTCAGAACATGATAAAATTATTGTAAGCTGTTTTGGACTGCTGATTAAATGATGAACACAAATATGGGTTATAAGAATGGAAGAGCTGCTTTTATGAGATGAATCTCTGGGAAGATACGATTCAGAGAAAAATATGATAAGGAGGGAAAAAATAAAATATGCAAGCCTTCTACATATTTTCTCCCCCCATTCAAATCTTTCTGGAATATTTTTTCTTATTCTTTTTAAAACAGAAGCCCATGCTTTTTTTTCTATTTCACACCACTTTGTCTTTTGTATTTAAGAAGACCCCCAGATAATTGGAAGAAGGCAAAATGGTATCAAGCAACTATCGTCCATGGGAGGGCAAGCTGAGATTTCCCTAAAGTTTTAGTAATGTCACCAGAGCTCTTTACATTTTGCTTCTAAAACCATATTTTTCAATGCTGTGTGATAAAAGTTTCAAATAATTTAAAACATAGCAAAGAACTATGGTTCTTAGTGCAATTTAAATGAAATAGACAAATCCATTTTAATTCTTTCCTTTAATTTATTCATTTGTCTTATTTACACTGATTCATTCATATACTATTTCATTGTAGGATATATGGACCTCTAAGAAACCTCCATAAGTAGCATTTTTTCACCTCGTTGAATTTTACAGTACAATCACAAATAAAATCTCTTTTTCACATACCTTTTTTTCAAGATTTAATGGATTTTTAAAACGTCTTACGTGCCCCTTAAAATTAATCTTGTTGAACAATAGGTAGTTTCTTATTTTAGTATTTTCCTTTTTTTATCCTGATAACCTAAAATGCCCTAAAGGCAGTCTTACAAAACAAATATTAATAAAGCAAATACAATGGAAGTATTAATATAATACTAATATACTACTAAGACAACAACACTTTGGGGATCAATTTTGAATGATAAAATCCTGGGGAGATGGAGCACAAAAATCATTTTACAATTTTTTTATCTTTAATATTAGCAGTTTTCTTGCTATATATTTTTAAATGTTTATTTATATATATGTATGATTATTATATAAATAAATCTCAACTCTGAAAATTCATAATGAATACCTGTGAACATACCACAAATGTTGAAAAAAGTAAACACCAAAAAAGAAATGCTCTTAATATCCGCTTCATTACTCCTATAGGATTCATATGATTATTATTTTTTAAAATTTTCAGCATACATTACTACCTTTCAGAAAGTCCTTCCAGCATGATATAATATATCCTGAAAATGATTGGTTTTTGTACAGATTTGGTCTACTAACTGTTATCTACTGATATCATCTGGGAAAAGATCAGTTCACTATAGCAACTTAACACTTCAAATAAAAGTTGTCACTTTCTTCCTCAAACATTTATACTGTCTCTGGAGATATGATATGACGTTATATCAGAAGATGTGAACTGCCTTTGGGGATTTGGATGGTTCATCTTCAGAGATTCTTCAGAGATTCTTCACCAAAGAGAGCAGAGAGCAAACTTTACAAGCATATACACCAACAATTTGTATCTGCAGGGTTATTCAATGTATGAGTTATCCTTCCTGGAATAATGGATTGAAGATAATGGTGTAACAGTCAAAGCCACCTTGAGGGTACCAAATTGGTGAAAGCTAAAAAGTACAAGATACCGATATCAAACATAGAGGATTGTGGCATCACATCAAAACATTGCTTTTGCCTGTTGTATTTGCCTTGAATATAAATCGTATGATTTATCCTCCAAACTCTTTATCCCCTTTGTTTCTTTTCTTTGCATTCTTGCTAAGGCCCAAGTATCTTTTTTGTGTCATGATGACCAGAACTGGATGCAGTATTCCAAGTGTGGCCTCTTTAGTGCAGAATAGAGTGGTACTATCACTTCCCATGATCTTGATGCTGCCCTTCTGTTGATGCAGCCTAGGACTGCATTGGCTTTTTTGGTAGCTGCAGCACACTGCTGACTCATATTTAAGAGGTGGTCCACCAGGAGTCCTATATCCCCCTCATAGGCACTATATTAAGCCAGGTACTGCCTATTCTACGCCTGTGCATTTGGTTTTTCTTGCCTAATTCTTACCTTACTTTTCCCACCACTAAACTGCATCTTGTTGGATAGGACCCATTCCTCATGTCTGCCATGATCCTTCTGAATCTTGAGTTTACCTTCCAAAGTGTTAGAAATTCTCCTTCACATGCTGTCATCTGCAAATATGGTGAGTGGCCCTTCAATCCCCTCATCCCTCCATCATTTATGAAGATGTTGGAGAATCCTGAGCCCAAGACAGAACCTTGAGGTACCACACTGAACCAGAATAATCAGCAAGTAAGAAGACAAATAATATAGCCTGTACTTCAAATCAACTGAACAGATTCATAAGCTCAATTTAGTTATGTTGTTTGTGTTATCTGACTCTTCTATCTTATGTTATTTTAAATAATAGAAAATCATATTAATGTTATGTTCTATCTTAGTTCTCATTTGTTCAAAGTTGCCCAAAGAATTTTGTTTGGAGTGTAAGGTTGGGGGGGTGGGTAACACATGAATGGTAAAACAAGTAATTCATATTAACACTTTCTCCATTAAGAATCAAAATAGTATTTTTCTGAAATGTTGGTACAATTACAAATAAAAAGAACAAAATGTACCAAAATGCCGATATCAGTAGAGTATGTGCTTAGTTCTTTAATAGCATTATAGTTCACTTGAAGGAGGAGTACCTCAAAATAGAAAATAAGACTTATTAGATTTTTAGAAATATTTTGTCCCACAGGGTAAAGAATAGATTTTATGGAAACATTTAAATTAATAAGTATATAGAAACTTATAACTTCATGCAAGAATACCATGTTGTTGCTTTGATTCCATTGAGACAATATCCCATGATTATAATTAGTTGAAGCAAAACAACATTCCTCATGCTAACTTCTATAGAACTTATTTGTTTATTTATTGTCAAAAGCTTACAATATAACAGAAACAAGAATAAAGATAAGTTTAAATACAAGAAAGAGGAACTCTTAGGAATGGGGTGAGGTCAATAGAGGTTAGTTTGGGGGTAAAAGACTGGGGGTTTGAGCAGGTGACAACAGAATCAGGTAGTGAGTTCCAGACATTGACCACTCTGTTGCTGAAATCATACTTCCTGAAATAGAATTTGGAGTGGTTTACATTTAGTTTATATCTGTTGTGTGCTCTTGTGGTGTTGTTGTTAAAGCTGAAATATTCATTAACTGGTAAGACGTTGTAACATTGTCAATCCCAAAATTGACATAAGTATAGCCATTTTAGTTAGTCTTAGTATATATTCTTTTTCTTACTTTCTCTGTGGCAGTCATGGAGGGAAGGGTTTTGGGCTTGCCACATTCCTAAGGGGGGAGGAGTGGAGATAAAGAGAGTGTTTTGGATGGGTGATCTTTCTTCCCATGGGAAACAAGCTGTCCTTGCTTGGGCCTTAGAGGTGGAGATTTATGACATCAAGCAACCTTGAATTACTTCTATTGGAGAATGTGACTTTTGGGGGTTGTTTCTAATTTGTAATATTGTGGGGTAATTCTGGATTGGGTCAGATCCGGAATTACCATGGACTTTGCCAATTTGATGGCAATTTCTTTCATTTCCTAAATAAAAGAAATCTTTTTTGAAGATGGACTTTGTACTTTTTTTTTTAAATGGATTTCATCACTTGGAATCCTGACATTATTCCGGATCTCACAAAAACCATAATCCCAGATGTTGTAGAGTGACAGAATAACCTGAGGCGAACACGGAATGAACTTCAGCTTTTACTTTATTGAAACAATAAAGGGTTGCTGCAGCGGACAACAGCTGATGCCGTTTGACAGCTCCCTTTTATAGCCGGCTGTCAAATGGCATCAGTCAATAGGAACGGTCTGTGTTCCCGCTGGAAACACGGACCGGAGTGAAGACTTCAGCTCAGTCTTTTCTGAACGCCACACTCCTTTCCCCCAGAATGGAGCATGTGTGGTCCTTCAGATAACTCGGGCGCTTGCGCAGGCGGCCAGATCTTCTAGGTTCTGACGGAGCTGCTGCTGGAAGGAACTTTTCTGTTTGTTGGGCAACTTCTGGTGCTGATGAAACTGGCGTCTCAGCTTCAGGCGTCTCTGGGTGAGGGACAGATGGCTGCTCAGGTAGGCTTGCGTTCCTGTCAGATTCGCGGGAAGTTTCTTCAGGTGCCGGCGGTTTCACTGTCGCAGGAACGTCTTGAGGGCCATCTGCAAACGAACTCCAACGCCTTCTAAGTTGATCGATATGGCAGCGCCAAATGTGCCCGTCTTGCAGTTGGACCCTCTAAGACTTAGGACTGGTTACCGCCACAATCTGCCCAGGCATCCATAAAGGGTGTCCTGCATAATTCCGGGCATAAACCTGGTCATTTTCAGTGAACTCCCTTGCCTGGCTATTTGATCCTAGGGGTGTGACTGGGGCATAATATGGATGGAGTCTGTCTAAAGTAGTCCTCAGACATCTACCCATGAGAAGTTCAGCTGGGGACCTATTAGTGGTGGCACAGGGAGTCGTGTGCTAGGTTAGAAGATACTTAGCAAGCCTAGAGTGCCAATCTATTGGCCCAAGCCTTTCCAGGACCTCTTTAGCAGATCTGATTGCTCTTTCAGCCAGGCCATTACTGGCAGGATGGAAAGGCGCTGTAAGTGCATGCCTGATTCCCAGGTTAGCTAGGAAGACCTCAAACTCACAGGAAGTAAACTGGGGCTCGTTATCAGACATGATGGTGTCAGGAAGGCCATGGGTAGTGAATATCCTTGATAGAGCCTTAGTGATGGCTTCTGAAGTTGTGGTGGTCATCAAGGTCAGCTCTACCCATTTAGAAAAAGAATCAACCATCACCAAGAATTTACGCCCATGAAAGGGGCCAGCCAGATCAATATGCACCCGGGACAAAGGGGTCCCAGAATCTTCCCACCTGCCTGGAGTGGATGTGAGTGGAGCAGGTCTGGTAACTTGGCATGGCTGACAAGCATTCACCTAACTTGTAATCTGAGCATCCATGCCCGGCCACCATACATAACTGCGAGCTAGGGCTTTCATTCTGACAATGCCAGGATGCCCTTTATGCAGGACCTTTAAAACTGAAGCTTGCAACTTGGAAGAGATAACTACCCTAGTTCCCCAAAGTAAACAACCTTGCTAAGAAGACAGTTCTTGCTGGCGAGTTTTGAATGGCATGAATTCGGGGGCATAAGGAATTGCAGGCCACTCCCTTCCCACCCAGTCAAGGACTTGGGCGATTACCTTGTCCCTGCAGAGAGGGCAGCGATATTAAGGGTGGTGATGGGAAGTTTGAGATCATTGATCAGGAACACAGTGTTAGTTGGTGCAGGATCCTTCACAGGAACAGGCAGGGGGTAGCGACTAAGAGCATCAGCATGGCAGAGACTCTTGCCAGCTCGATGAACCAATGTGTAGGAATAGGCAGCCAGAAATAAAGTCCACCTGGTCATCCTTGGAGACAAAATCTGAGGAGTTTGTCTATCGCCTGACAGAGGCTTGTGATCCGTAACCAACTCGAAATAGTGTCCATATAGAAACTCATGGAATTTTTTGACAGAAGCAACTGCAGCCAAAGCCTCCTTGTCAATTTGGCTGTAGTTGCGCTCAGCTGGGGAAAAAGTTCTGGAGAAAAAGGTAATGGGTGCCTCAGAACCATTAGGCAGTCTATGACTTAAAACAGCACTTATGCCAAAAGGAGAAGCATCTGCTACTAAAACTAAAGGTAAATGCTCATTAAATTGGATCAGAACAGCATCGGATGTAAGCAATGATTTGACTGCATGGAAAGCATGGGCTTCCTTAGGTCCCCAGTGCCAGGGGGATTGCTTATCCAAGAGTCTGTGCAGAGGCTCTGCAACAGAAGCTTTATGTGGCAAAAATGAAGCGTATAAGTTAAGAAGTCCTAAAAAGGCCTGGAGCTCAGTTTTGTTAGTTGGTGTGGGTGCCTCATGAATAGCCCTTACTTTGGATTCGATTGGGTGAATACCAGAGGTGTCAATTCTGTAACCCAAAAATTCTACTTGTGGGGTGGCAATAGTGCACTTCTCTTTCTTTAACTTAAGACCATGCTTCCTAAAATGATCGAGGACTCCTCTGACTCTTTGCAGTAATTGAGACTTGTCAGGGGCAGATATTAAAATGTCATCAAAATATGGAATTATACCTGGTAATCCTTGAAGTAGTCTTTCCATTAAACATTGGAAAATCCCTGGGGCCACACTTACACCAAATTGGAGGCGCCTCCATTTAAAAGCGCCCCTGTGTGTTACAATAGTTTGTAGTTGAACGGCTGTGTCATCAACAGGGAACTGTTGATAGGCCTGTGACATGTCTAATTTTGCGAAAATGGTTCCTGGCTCAAAAGAATGTAGTAGGTGCTGGATAATTGGGACTGGATAAGTGCTAAATATTTATTCAATGACGTCTTGTAATCTGCATAGATTCTTACACTACCGTCTTTCTTCAGGGGTGTCATTATTGGGGTTTCCCATTTTGCGAAGTCCACAGGCTCTAATATACTCTGTTTAATTAATTTGTCTAGTTCCATGTCCAGTTTGGGGTGGATTGCAAAAGGTACCCTTCGAGGCTTTAAACGGATTGGGACTGCCAGAGTGTCCAAGTTGAAAGACATTGGGGTTCTTGAATAACAGCCCAGCCCCTCGCTGATCACATCAGCATAGTCATTAAACAAGGTGTCCACTTCAGCATTTGCAATAGAATGGATTCTGCTTATATGGAGGCCAAGGGCAGGGAACCAGTCTAACCCCAACAGGCTTGGGAGGGCACCATCCACTACCACTAAAGGCAAGTGACCTTTAAAATTTTGAAATTGAACAAAAAACTTGCCTTTTCCAATGACTGGGATGGTTCTGCCTTGGTAGTCACGTAGGGTTAAGTTGCAGCCTTGAAAGCCTCTTCTTATTCATTCTGGGAAGCAGTTGTTTCAAGGTGCTCCATGAGATGATGGACAGTGCTGAGCCAGTATGGTGGTTTGACATTGAAATGAGACACAGGGAACTGTCTCTGAGA